AACCCAGGCATGTGCCCTGGGCTGGAATCGAACCGGGGACCCTTTAGTCCGCAGGCCGACGCTCTATCCACTGAGCCAAACTGGCTAGGGCCCACTGCCTTATTATTAATGCCTGTGACCCATGTTACTATCCTGTGAGGCAGGGGCCACGTGTACCATCTCATAAGGGTGGGAGGGTATACATCACGGTGCAGCCAGCTTCCCGAAAGACCAGCTGGGAAAGGGATAAAGCACAACCTCAAATGGACCAAAACCGAAACAACAGCCTTTTCTGTGCTTCCAAAGGAAGGCGGGTCCTGAAGTTGCCAATGACCTGTGACAGCCCTGCCACCCCCTGTGGTGAGAGGGGACGCTGGTCCCGGGGCAACATGCCCAAGGGTCCCAGACGGGCTCAAGCAACCACCTGACTCCATTAATCTGTATTTTATTGTGACTTGCAACAAAAAAAGGATTTTTATGTGCATTACGAAATAATTCAAATGTTATGATGATAAACTCAGAATCATTTTATAGGGGATTTAGCTAAGTTCTATGCAAGCAATAAAACGCCTGTATGGTAGCATTTTAGCTTTATGGAAGTAAACAGTTTTAAAAGTGAAGTGATGCTGGCAGTGAGAAGACCGTCTTTCTAAGTCATGGAAATGCACGGATTTCCATGTACGATGTCTCCAAATCAAAATAGTGTGGCATCTGAGCTCCTCATACTCAGAACATCTAATCCACTCGTCTCCTCCCACCGCCACCTCTCAGTCCCAAAGCTGACATGCCTGCTACTGGGATTTTGAATCCATGTTGAGAGCAATGCTTGACTTTTGTTAGCCGTCTAGAATAGATTTGCTGTAATCTTATCCGTGAGCAGTTAAACTGGGGAAGATTTTCTCAGGTAACCTAAGGAACTGAGGAACTCCAGAGCTGATGCTCCTGATTCTCCTTTCCAAATATTCCTTTCCCAGGATCAAAGTTAGATTTTAATCCTCTCCGTCTGAAACAGTGCACCTGTTACCATGGTGCTAAGTCATTTTTAAGATTCTGTGAAATTGGATCCAAAGAAAAACCTCTTCCCTATAGTCCAAGGGGTATTCCTTTCACAGGGAAATGAAACACCTGGAAGGGACGTCAGAAACCAGCTCGTTTAGTCCCACAGGCGCCCAGAGGCCCAGGGACTATTGCAAGGTCACGAGGGTGACAGTGACAGGACAGGCCCTCTGGCTCCATCCGGAATCTGTTCATTTCCCCAATACCATTCGCTTTGTATGATTTTCATAAAGAGAAATTTGTGATAAAAAATATAAGCATAGCCTGGCCAGCATGACTCAGTGGTTGAGCGTCGACCTTTGAACCAGGAGGTCATGGTTCAGTTCCCAGTCAGGGCACATGCCTGGGTTGCGGGCTCTATCCCCAGTAGGGGGCGTGCGGGAGGCAGCCAATCAGCATTAATGTTTCTGTCTCTCTCCTCCCTTCCTCTCTGAAATCAGTAAAAATATATGTTAAAAAATATATATATATAAAATATATGAGCATAGACATTAAAAATCATGTCCTGAGCACCCCAATTCTTTCTGCATTACTGAAACATCTATAATCTCCAGAAAACACAAGAGCTACACTAGCACTTTGGTTAACAGAATCTATTCAACTGAAACCCAGCTACCTTGTCATCACGCCAGAAAATGCTCCCATGTATGTAAGGCCCGTGGGCTTCGTCTTTTTACAGGCATTGGGTTCATGGTACTACTGCTTAGAAGGGGAGTGAAGTTCATTTCGGACCTGGCCTAAGAAGCTACAGCAGCTGACACAAACAAGCTAACCTGTCTGATCACACTGAACTATCCACCAGAGGAAAGAGCTAGGACCAAACAGAATGCACTTGGACCTATGATAAATACACAACTTTCTGACAGCGACAGCTGTGAAATCCTTGAATTGGATGCTGAAAAGGTCACAGCCTGGAGGCCGTTTTTGAGACTCTGGTAGTAGTAGTTCGATTCTTCCTTACCCTTCAGGGAGGAAAATCGTTAGGACTTGAAACTAGAACAGAACATGGCTATGAGCCTCAAAACATACCTCCTTGGAGGGCCGGAATATAGTTTACAAAAAAACTATGAACAAATTCCTATGCACACTGCACATATCTTATTTTGAAGTAAAAAAACAAAACGGGAACAAATACAATATTTGTATTTGCATGTGGCCCGCGGGCCGTAGTTTGAGGACCCCTGCTATTAGAACCTCGTCACGACTGCTCTGAATGTGGAGAGCGAGGAGAGTCACAGACCACTCTGTGGAACTTACCGTCATTCACCGCGCCTGGCGTCTTATCTCCTGCTTCCCTCTCACTGGACTCTTCACTTACGGTAGAGTCAGCATCTGAGGGCGAAACTCTGCAGACACCAAACAAACGTAAGCATGAGGAACAGAACGCAAAGGGAGGGGCCGGTCATGCTCATTCGGACGTGGAAGTCAGGCTTCCAGGCCAGACTGGTAGAAATTGGTAGACAATCCAAAATATCTCACAGTCCAGCATCTCCAAGGACACGGACTGCACTTAGTTACCTCTTGAAGATAGTGTAACAGTGCAGGAAAGGGCTCAGCAGGCTGCATTTCAACCAATGCCAAGAAATCAGGGGCCCAATTAGGGGGCGGTCCTTCAGTGACCAGGGCCCTGGCTGGCAGTCTGGTTTGGCTCAGGGTCAGTTGGGTCTGCAGAATCTCCAGGAAGCCAGGGTGTCTGCATTCACCCCACCGAGCTCCAGGTCTTTGGAAGAAGCCTACAGTTACATCCCCACTGAGATCTGATGCCATAACTAAAGAGCGAGGGTAGCGTGGAAGCCAGGGGGCACCAGGCTAGTAAAACTCCACCAGCAGGCACCCCTCCCTTTGTGCTCCCTGGATTAAAGAGCAGTGTGAAATGCCAACACACTCTGGTGCCCGTGAGGGATGCTAAATTATTATATTAACCACACAGGCCACTGAGATGTCGTGACTAAATGTTTAGGATGAGACTACAAGGGAAGAAAAAAAAAGACTGCAAATCTGTACTAGCATATTAATAATCCTTAATGATGTAACTTATGCTTAACCTACAAGATAATTAAGCAAATACCATCTCTCTCCTTAATGCAGTTTCTTTTGTAAAGATCATCTATTAAATTCTTAAAACTAGGCCAGAACCCCCGGAGAGGTTTTCTGATGTCAGGAATTATAACATCATATTGGTATGAGCCCACACTACTTTTTTCCTTTTAGCAGAAAATCATGATCCAAAGTATCAAAGCTCAAAGACAGGCTGATAATTTTAAGGCTTTAGTAGCCAAAGCTTGACTGTGATGATCTAAAGTCAACTTAATAAAGCCTGACTCTGAACTGGGTCTCCTTTAACAGAGATGTAGCCCTTCCCAGGGCATCAGAGGGTGAGGGGACCTCCAGGGAGTGTGTTATCAAGCAGTTCTCCACGGGGTGCTTTACCCTGATAAGAGGAACGAAAATAAACAGAGATGGGAGCTGGGCAGGGAGATGGGAGGTGGTGAAGAGTCCTTGCAAACATACTAACAATGGTGATATCAGCCGCCAGAGAAAAATCAAGCAAAGATAGAAAGATGTGCCCAACCGGAGTGGCTCAGTGGTTGAGCGTCAACCCATGAACCAGGAGGTCACAGTTCAATTCCCGGTCAGGGTACATGCCTGGGTTACAGGCTCGATCCCCAGAGTGGGGCATGCAGGAGGCAGCTGATCAATGATTCTCTCTCATCATCCTCCTCTCTTTCTTTCTCTCTCTCTCCCTTCCTCTCTGAAATCAATAAAAATATATTTTTTAAAAAAGATAGAAAGCTGTGATAAAGGAAGGTCACTTGCAGACAGAGCAATGAAGGCATGATGGGCCAGGACAAAGCCAGTACTGGGTGTGTATCGTGTGCTATGCACCTTTTAGACATTATAGAAGGCCAAGCTTGTTCACCCAGAATATATACTCTTGAGCTGGCCAATCCCTAATCAAGTCACAGGGGGACCGCCAAACCACGATGGGTAGTGATTCGTAATCTTAAATGCTTTGGGGAAAGAGAGCAGACAGCCCCCTGGGGTGGTCCACTGGAGCGGCCCTCGGGCTCGCTGCCTTTGGGAAAGCTGTGGTCAGTCTCCTGGGCTGCAGGCGTGGACAATACTCTCCGTCAGCCCTTCTGATACTGGAAACTGACAAACTGAAAACGGAAACATGCTTCACGACAGAGTACAATGCAGAAAGCCCGACACCAACCTTCCTCGATGGCGGACGTTCTTGGAGGGGCCCTTGGCCTTGGGGCTCGGGAGGTCCCCGTTTTCGGAGGGCGTGGCGTGGTCCTTCACGGGCCCCGGCAGCGGAGCTGGCTCGTGAATAATCAGGATGTCGTCCTTATTGTGCTGCCCTAGGTGCTGCTTGGCAAAGTCAAACCCCTTCACACTGGGGATCTGCAGCTAAAACAGAGAGGCGGGTCGGTTGGTCTGAACGCTGGTGACCGTCAAGGAGCCTGTGAGGGCCGGCGAGGTCGTGCCTGCAATTCCACCAACATCTCAGAAACGCCAAATGTGTACAAGGCGCCGTTTATGCCTTGAATTTGCAGAAAAAATGGTTATTTGCAAAAACTTAAAGAGCACAAGGATTAAATAGCGCTGCTAGACCATAATACAAAGACACCCCAAGACGATCACCGGCCCACTGCCATAGCGGCATGACCATGTGCTATGCAATTCCAGAGACAGGGACAGGGGCACAGCATTCCAGAGAAATGGGGACTTGTGTCAGGACTCGGAGGACAGACAGAACTTAGAAGTAAAGAGGTTGGACACAGAGCGTGATCTGGATTGTGTCAGGGACCAGCAAACCCTTGAGGCTGGGCAGAGATCTCATTAGCTGCTCTAGATGGGTCAGAATACAGGCAGTGAGAGAAGGCCGGCCTGCATGTGGACGACTCCAAATGCCAGCTTCTAGAGCAGAGACGCCCCTACATATTTCTAAAGAGGCAGATTTCTAAAATTCAAGCAGGGACCAGGGAATACGGCTCAACAGTTCCACATTCCTGGAATGACAAGAGTGAAGCCCAAAGTCTTAACAAAGAAAGTGGGAAGGAAGGAAGGAGGGAGGGAGGTACAGACCAAGCGGGAGGGACTGGACGCCGACCAGATGCAAGAGGCAAAGGAGAGAGAGAGCCAGTGATAACCAGCAGGGACGTGGAACAGTGGAAGTGACACTGAGGGTAAGGGGTGAGTCATGAAGGAACGATGCCCTGAGGAAATACAAAGTCAGGTCTTGCTTCAAACATACTTCGGTTGAAACGGCACACACAAAAAAAAACAGCTCCAGAGGAAAGCAGCCGTGTGGCTGGAGTCGGAGGACAGAAGCCTGGGGGACGCCAGGCTGGAGATGTGGCTCTGAGAGCATCTGTCTAGAAGGTGACATGTGGGGGAGTTAACGGTATTTTAAGATGAAAACAGTCCATGAATAAAATGTTGGAGGACATCTAATAATTTGGGACTCAGAGAGAAAAAAAGGGAGCCAAGAACAAAATAGAAGCCTACTTCAAAAAAAAAGAGTGTGAACCGTTCAATGCAATAGAAGTAAAGGGAGTAAAGAGTTTCTAGAAAGGAGAGTAATCAGGGCACAGTGATGAGGAGAAAGGGGTCTTTGAAAAAGTCCACCTGTCACAGTGGCATATGCAGGAGGCCTACATCCCACCGAGGCACCCACACCAAACCCACAACCAAGACCCCATGAGCCTGCGACCACAGGTGTGGGCCTCAGCTTCTCAGCCTGTGCTAAGATAGGAGAGGTGCTCGCGTATATGGATGCATGGACAGTGAAGGTGGGGCACCACTGGGTATTAACAGCTTCCTTAATTTGAGCTTGCAGGGCATCCTAATATAATAAAAGCCTAATATGCTAAGTGTACGGCCACTGGACTATTCGACCAGTCCCTATGACATGCACTGACCACCAGGGGGCATTCGCTCCGACCAGTAGGTTAGCTTGCTGCTGGGGTCCGGCCAATCAGCCTGGTGAGACGGCCGGACATGCACTGGAGCCCTCCTGCAGTCCCTCCCCAGCCCCGATTGTGCACTGGTGGGGGTTCCTCAGCCTGGCTTGTGCCCTCTCACAATCCAGGACCCCTCAGAGGATGTCGGAAAGCCGGTTTCAACCCGATCCCCACAGGCCAGGCCGAGGGATCCCACTGGTGCACGAATCCGTGCACCAGGCCTCTAGTAGGACAATAAACTGCATATAAGTAGTCTCCTCAAGGGTCTCCTCATTGCCAGCAGGAAGGCCACGTGCAAGACTGAGCCCTCCCAGCCAGGCTGTGTCCCACACCCACAGGTAGTCCTATTAGTCAAGAGACACAGGCAAACCCATCTATGGAGTTGTTTTAGCCAAGAGGCCATGTGCAGAAGCACAAGGTTTTGTTGTATTTTTGCCAACTTTATGCAGAGATGAGTAACAACACTAATGGCTTAGATTTGTGATCTCTAACTCTAACCTCTTTTTAGCACTAAAAATCCAAGATTAATGGGGTAGGAGAGTACATCTGCAACCATGATTTATGCCAGCAGAGGGAGACAAAACTTACTGTAAATGTAGTTTACAAAGATGTTGCTTGGAAACAAAAGGCAAAGACTGGCCTACCTATATTTTCTAAATCGATGATATCGTGTTTCAAGAGCAGGCTACTCCACAGGGCACAGTGATGAGGAGAAAGGGGTCTTTGAAAAAGACAGTGTGTGACTGCCACACACCCCTCGGCTCAGGAATGCTGTTTCGAAAACAATAAACCAGACCTGCTGCTCCATGGCTCCCCACCCCCAACCCTCCCCCAGGATAAATCCTCATCCCTGAGACTGGATTAGCACACCAAATCCCTGGGGTGCACACCCTTCTAGAGGCACGTAGTCCCCTTAAGGGAATCAAATTCCAGGTGGACAACCCCTTCATATGTTCGCACCTAAACGTGATTTTCCTGAGCGCGCCGGGGATCTAGGCACCAGGCTGGTCCCCCTGTCCAGCCTCCTTTCATAAAAGACCTCCTACTTTACAGAAGAGAGACGCACCTCTCACCCATGTGGCTGTGACACCTCATTTTAGCTCCATAAACAAGGTGCCGCTAAACAAAAGAATAACAGTTATAATCGTCATCTAATCATCACCATCAACATCGTCTTATCAATCCTGGTAAAACCCTTTTTGGTATATTCTCCGGTAAGAAAGCAAATGCCTCTAGTGACTGGGAAACACTCTCTTTTGTGAGGTAGATGGTTTGCTTTGTCAAAATTGAAGGAGAAGCCCTGCCTAGTCTGGCTCAGTTGGTTGGGCATCGTCCCGTGTGCCGGACGGCTCCTGGTTCAATTCCCAGTCACGTTTCAGGCTTGATCCCTGGTGGGGGGCATGCAGGAGGCAGCTGATTGATGTCTCGTTCGCACATCAGTGTTTCTCTCTCTCTCTCTCCCCATGTCCCTTCCTCTCTCTCTAAACTTAATCATTTTTCTAAGTGGAAGAAATATTTTTTTTAATTTGAAGGAGGAGCCACAGACTGGAGACCTTCTCTAAGCAAAGCTCTCCAAAGAGAATAAGTGGAAAATCTGAACCACACTGTCTCCATGGTGCAGCCTGTGTACCCCAAGTCTAGGAACTAAAGGCCTTCACTGACCAACTCATGAAACAACCAAATATATGCCTATGTCAAAGTGCCTTACAATGAGACTGACAGCATTCTTATTGCTCTTGGTTGATAAACATCAAGGACTTAATACACAGTCAGCTAAACGTTCCCAGGCACCAGATAAAGCTATAGATATAAATTCTGATACAAACTTGCTTTACGTAACTCAGCAACAGGATGTGACACATGGTGCACACTCTACAAACAGGTGATGACGGAAGGAATTTCTAAAAGGTCAGCTGAGGCAGAGAACCTACTGAATTTTGGGGGGAACCAAGGAAAGGGTGTTTGCCATAAATGAAACATCCACCACAGCCTTGAAGCCCTATTGCTTCTGGTGGAGTCCCACTAACACCTCTAAATATACCCATTAGATCCTTACACTTCCCACAGGCTCTGTGAGTCACCGCCTTCCACAACAATAGAAATTTGGCAACTAATCTGTACTTACGCATAAAACAAAAGCCATTTACACACAGAAGGAAAAAATTACAGAAATCACTGCCCCCTCCCCCCCACACACACACACTCATGGAATTAGCTACTTTCATTTCAACCCTACTTACTGGTACACTTTTTCTAGTTTTTCTATTTTTTTTTTAAATCTAAAGTTAAGTCTGGATGTACTGTGTCTCCAGCTTCCATATGCAGAATAAACCTGAATTCATATCTTATAAAAGAAGGGTGGCAATTAATTAGTGCTTTAATATTCATTTAGGACCCAGTTACTTCTGAGTAAGGATAGCTCTTTTGTTCCTTTTTTTAAAATTATGTTTTATTGATTTCAGAGAGAGGAAGCGAGAGAGAGAAAGGGATAGAAACATCAATGACTAGAGAGAATCATCAATTAGCTGCCTTCTGCATGCCCCTCCCCGGATCTCCCCCTACTGGGGATTCAAGCCCCAAGCCAGGCATGTGCCCTGACAGGTAATCTAACTGTGACCTCCTAGTTCATAGGTCAACCCTCAACCATTGAACCACACTGGCCAGGCTGTTCCTTCTTTCTTTACTATATCACAAAGGGGACAGGCCCCGGGATCAGTACCCAACCAGAGTATGTCACTGACAAGTCAGGGAGGCCTTGTGGAGCAGGTCGGCCAAGTAACAGGCGAGACGCCTGATGAATTTTAAAACACATGAGCCATAAATATAATACGACCCAGACGGGACAAGACAGAGTGAAGTCCCCAGTACTTGGTGAGTCTGAACCCTGGGAAGGAGCGCTAAGATGACAAAGGAAACCACAGAGCAATCCCAGCAGAGCCTAAATGAAAATCTGCGATCTCAAAGAGAACGCGTTAAGTGTTCACAATTGGATGGCTATGGCCTGTGAAAGCTCACAACAACCACGTGACGTCTCCACAGTGGTGAGGACCAGACGAAGTTGTCACCGTGTGTGTGTCTGCGTGGGGCCCTGCCACCCTCAAGTCTTGAGTCTGGGAGAGCAGTGCTCCAAGATTCTGCTGCCCCCAGGCCACAGCAGGTCATGGTCACCTGACTGCGGGTGAACTAGAAACACCTGCGTGAGGCCTCATGGGATCCTTGCAGAGAATCGAGGAGCAAACCGACAGACACTCCAGCTACTCTCCCTGCCGAAAACCATCCAGTGGGTCCCCACTACCTACAGCATCCCTTCCCACCCTGACATGTCCTACAAACCTCTCCGAGCCTGGCTCTTGCCTGCCTCTGTCTCCGAAGCTTCGGCTGTGCCCTTCCATACAACCTTGTCCCAGCCTTCTCGAGCTCTGTGCCCTTCCCTCCGCCTGGGCCCACTTCATCTGGCCGCATCCCTGCCCGTCAGCCCTGCGTCACCTCCTCTCAGAAGACAGAGGGGACCCCTCCTCCCCGCTCCTGCAGCACCCTAGAAGGACCGACACTGTGACTGTGTCAGCCACTGTAGCCTTGTCCTCCTCCCGTACCAAAGCCCTCGAGAGCAGGACTGCATGTCATCTGTGCCTGTCACCCAGCCTGGCCTGCTCAGTTCTGAGCACATGCTCGGTGTCCAGTGAGTGAGCATGCCGTTCTGAGGCAGCTCCGCCTGGCGGCCCACGGTGCCAGCCGGCCAGGAACGGAACTCCAGTCCTGCACCAACAACAGGGGGTGGTCTGTCCCCAGAAGAAGAAACAAGTTCCCATGGGACCAGCAGCAGGCAGCCCATGCCATTCGTATCCTTAAGTGGAACCTCTGCGGGCTGAGGCGGGTCCAAGCGGGAGGTCTGTGGGGAACAGTGACAAGTGATGACTTTAAGCTCCAGATTAAAGAGAACACAGATGAAAAGAAAGGCACCGGTTAGGGTGTTTCTCTTTATTATTAGAAAGAAGCAAGAACCCTGCTTCCAAATATGACAGAAAGGCCTCTCTCTATCCTATTTCAAACCTAATCGACTCCCAGACAATCCGAAGAGGTTTCCTTTTCCTTACAGGGGGAGGGGGTGTGGATTTTCGCTCACCAGATTGATTGTTTCCAGATGTTCATAGCTCTGGGGTTTGAACAAGATTTCAGAGTCGCAGGGAGGCAGCGTCAGGGGTGGGGTGAGCAGGAGGGAGAGAGAGGAAACAGAAAGGCACCCAGAAAAGCAGAGGAAGTCTTACAGTCACTTCGGTGACCATCCTTTTCCTACTGAAAACACTTGATAAGTCTAGACGCTGGGCTCCGGTGCCAGCAAAACAAAGCCCGTGCTTCTGAAACGTCGGGGTGCTGCCCTCCGAGCAAGACACTCCGTCTCCTGGGGAGGCTCCACGCAGAAGGCCTTCCCTGTAAAAACGTCTGAGCAACTCCAAAGGCTGGCGTTTCCGTCGGAAACTCTGCCCCTTTGCTTCATAGCCACATCTGGGATGTGACAATATTTCGGAAGTAAAAGTGGGAGGAGGAGAAAGCTTGGGGACTACCCTGTTTTGACCTCAGAGACGCGGTCCTCTGATAGCTTCTTGAAGTAACAGATAATGGATGGGCTCCCACAGTGAGGGTTTACCTTAGGAACTGAGGAACCAGAGACCTAAATGCACAGCCGTCTGCACTGGTTACATCTCTCTGAAACCGGACTCTGCACCACAACAAAAACTTTCCAAATCTATTGCTGATCTCGTCACAATGAAATTCACACTCTGAATCACTTGGAATAGCAAGGAATTTCTTTTCCAGGTTTTTTTTCTGTGCCATTCATTTGTCTAGCAACAAAACAACTTTGGCAAAGTAGGTAAAAAATACATGAAGACACGTGACAACTAGAATATTGAAGTATAAAATGCTTCCAACATACTTGATAACCATATACTTGCAACTTAATCAAGATTTTGCATTTCTTAGTTAATTCATAAGAAAAAGAATACTCTTCGTGTACCTTTACAGTCATAAAATAAATGTAAAAACAATACTTATTTTTTCATTCAGCAGGTCTATGTTTGTAATGCCCAGAATTTTTTATACTCACAATCAGAATGAAACTCAAAGGTGAACCAGGCAATTCCTTGTTTCTTATTTGCTTTTTCTTACCCAACTTTTAGAGCTTAGTGAGTTCCTCTAACTTTTTGAGTAGAAGGTACATGTTAATAAATACATAGGTTCATGACCACGTCCATTCCCTTAGCAATGGCTGATCTCACGTGATGCTGCATGTCGGCAGGGAGTGCGTTCTCTGGTACGTGGCATGTTATTGCTCACACCAGGTGAATTAGATACCGACCAAGAGTCAATATCCTTGTTCTGAAACTTGCATGTGGCCATTAAATACTGCAGAGACTGGTGAAACATGTGAGAAGAGAACTGCTGCCACTATAAAAACGAAACTGAATGCTTTAGGAAGACGTGGACAAGGAGCTGTTGTCAAATTAGGAGTCAATTCAAAAAGACGGCAGGGCGGGAAGAGGGGGATTATAAAACCTGGAGAACTTGGCACTCAGGTTGCTTTTCTTTTCTCTAAAGAAACCCAAACTGGAAACTGCACTGATGTATGAGGGGCATTTATTATAAGAAAGACCACAGGGCCTTGACTGGTTTCGCTCAGTGGATAGAGCGTCGGCCTGTGGACTGAGGGGTCCCAGGTTCGATCCCAGTCAAGGGCATGCATCTTGGTTGTGGGCACATCCCCAGTAGGGGGCGTGCAGGAGGCAGCTGATCGATGTTTCTCTCTCATCAATGTTTCTAATTCTCTATCCCTCTCCCTTCCTCTCTGTAAAAAATCAGTAAAATATTTTTTTTTAAAAAAAAAAAGAAAGACCACAGGGAATTCCTCTCAGTAGACAAATACTGGAAAAAAAAAAAAAAAGACGAGGTATGTTGAAAGATGTCAATTAAATACCTATTCGTATATTTTAAGTTGAAATGTTTATGGCATGCATTACCATCCTTTAATGACTAAGTGCTCTCGATCAAGGTGGACAGGTGGGCTTGCAACAGGTGGATGGAAAATAAAGGAGCCACCCAGGGAAGTGGTGTATGGAAGACACAGACACACAGATGTGAGAAAAATCTCCCTTTGTCCTATTCTCTGAAGACATCCAGGGTTAAAAGACATTAGAACTCATACCCAGAACAGATGAGATCTTCTAGCTGATGGTCTCAAAAACAACATCTCAGTGGAAGTCAGGGTTCTCAAAGGCATGGCTAAGCCTTTGCACAGCTTCACCTTCCTGCAAACAGTTCATACTACAGAAGAACGGGGGCCTCAGCAAGCAGATGTGACAGCAAAGGGACACCACCATTAACCCCAAAAGATCCCTAATGGCTCTCTTTCGGTATCGAGAGCCTGGGCTCCCCCATCCCTGCCTGCGAGATGCGTGCACGCCCACCGGGGATGTGCCCTCACCTTCTGGCGCTGCTGGATGCTGGCCACGGCGTCGGGCTGGAAGTCCAGCTTGTCTGTGCGGCAGAGCTTCCAGTAGAGGATGACGACGATCACCATGACCACCAGCACGGGGATGACCACGCCGACGATGACCCAGAGGTTGTTGCTCTGGGACTCCGGCGACGGCCGCTTCACCCTGTCCACGGCTGCGGACAAGGAAAGAAGGTCTCTCAGTGACAGGCTCACTAGACAGCCCTTCTGGGCAGGGAGCGTGCCTTCTCCTAGGAGACACCTGGGAAGTTCCTGTCATTCCAGCCCAAGGCAACGGGTTAAAGGCTATGATCTCCTGAGAACAGGAAACGCGACCAGGTAAACAAGCACAACACAGACGTTATGTGGTGGATGGGTTGGGGATCACGGTGAGAGAGAGGATGTGCCTAAAGCAGCACGGCTACTTCAATGGCGAAGCTAGGTTAACGCCAAATCTCCTGACTCTCAGTTTATTCTACCAGCTCTGTTTACGAGACAACAGTGTGCTTTTCCCCCTACAGCATGCCAGGAGTTATGAGCTGGCTTTACTCACAGGTAATTAATCCTTTCAGTCCTTATAAATAGTAGCAATAACTCTATGAGTCTTGGCACTTCTAGGCAGTAAAATGTCTTTTAAAATGTTATTGGTTGACTTGCTACTGATGGTGGGCAGCTGCTTTCTCTGCAACCAACAATTAAATGTTGACTGATGGTTTAGATTGGAAATTGGAGGTCTCTGCACTTCTGATGCTTTTTCCTGTTCCACGTCACCCTTGGCTTGTAATACATGGCTCTGCATTGTCATCAAAGTGAATTTCCATGTTGTTTTATTTTTGACATCTTTTCAGCATCAGCCAGTTCTATGTAAAGCAGCGGTTCTCAACCTGTGGGTCACGACCATCGGAAAACACATGTAGCATATCAGATATTTACATTATGATTCATAACAGAAGCAAAATTATGGCTATGAAGTAGCAACGAAAATAATTTTATGGTTGGGGGTCACCACAACATGAGGAACTGTATTAAAGAGTCGCAGCATTAGGAAGGTTGAGAACCACTGCACTAGAGTGTGCAGCCTGACGAGCATTGATCCGGGTGGTTCTGAAATCATTAGAAGCATGCCAGGACAGCTGGGAGAAAAGCAAGTTGTGCAAAACTGTTCTTTAATAAAACTGGTCAGAGCTTGTTTTTAAAATAATAATAACACTAAAGTAAAATTAAGTCAAGCCTACTTGGAATCCACCACTCCCACCCTTCCTGCCACCCCACCCGAGCCTCCCATCTTCCACGGCCTTAGACTATTATGGTTCAATTACTCTGTCCTTCTCAATTTCCTTCACCAGCTCCTTCCCCTAACCCTGCCTCCCAGGACTGGGCCCTCCCTACTCATCCCTCAGAGGACTCAGCTTTCTTAAAGCTCAGGTTCCAGTCACCAGGCTCAGAAAACCAAAATACCCCTCCTCTGTGCCCAACCTCCTCATCCCCTGGGGCTGACTCATAACCACCTCTCCAGGCTTCACCTTTGCCTTCTGTTCTGGTTGTTTCTGTCTTGCAGGCAGGATCTTACTATTTCTTTTAAGATGTGTTTTATTACATACATGTACCACGTTGATACATCAATATGGTCATGGCTCTAAGTCTCATCTTTTCAAATACATCTCAGTCATCATGGGCAGGGACCACACTTGACGCTCTTTTCACATCCACTATAACACATGCCATGGGATCGAAAGGTTTCTGCTCAAGGATGTAACAACACAAACGATTCTCCGTGCTGCTTTAAGTTTGGGTTGAGGCTCCGGAGAGAGGGAGGGAGGGGGGTGGGCTTCTACAGTAGCGGTCGCCAACCTTTCGGATCTCACAGACCACCAGTGGTCCGCGAACCACCAGTTGGCAACCGCTGCTCTACAGCACACGCACTGAAGGAGGCCCGAGCTCCAGAGCAGAGCCTACGTGGGAAACAGAAAGGTAACAGAGTGATAAAAATCTGTACCTTTAAATTTGGCCTAAATATAGCTCATTTTGCATGAAAACAATATAGAAGGAAGGACAGAATCACACTGAGAGGCTGGGACAACTAGATGTTCTTTTTAGTCCTAACCTAGTGAAACCCTGTGAGAGGCACATTGATCACAACGAGACCCTGACCCAGGCCGGCAGCTGCCTCGGGCTGGCCCTGGTATTGGATAGGATGCCAATCCCAGGACTGCTGCCCCTGTGGTTTTTAGCACAAAAAGGAGGAAAGAGAGGTGCAAAGAAAAACTATTACCACAGGTGGAAGTGAGCTTGAAAGTGCCCATACCCTACTGCAATTCATCTTTGTCTTTAAATATTTTTATTGATTTTTGAGACAGAGAGAGAGAGAAAGAAATATTGATGTGAGAGCAAAACATCGACTGAGCCTGCAACCCAGACATGTGCCCTGACTGGGAATCAAACCAGCAACCTTTTAGTGCGTGGATGACACCCATCCATGCACCAAACTGAGCCACAGCAGCCAGGACCAATTCATCTTTTTAAAAGGTGCAGTGTTTCTCTGGAGTGGGACACCGCTCCGACAACCAGGAATGTCATATATGAAAAAAAAAAATGTAAGTACGTGCTTTATTTTTTCTCACTGCTTTGAAGTAGAACACACTAATATGCAATTACATCTCAAATACACACACTACCAGTGGTTATTTGCCTTAAGTCTCCCATCGTCTTTTACAAAATGGAGAAAGTGTGCCCGTTAGCCCTCTTTCTGGTTACTGTCCAGGGACAAGTATGGATTCCATGAAGAATCCTCTGTTGCCGAAAGTCATTTCAAAGCTGTCATTTTAAAAACTGCCTTTGTTACCTACGTATTTGCCCTACAGAGTTTTCCAATGTTCTCTGATCTTACTGTTGGGAGCAAGTATCACTGAGCTTTTAAAGGGATTGCTCTCAGGATCATAAAGGAAAAACAGTCACATTAAAATAGCACTCTGATTCATAAAGGTATATTTAGAGAGAAAAACACTCTTCCGTGCCACTCCTTTTCTTAATTTTAAATACCCCAAATCTGTGAGTTGGAAAAAAGTACTGAGAGCAGCCTTTGCCAGGGGACAGGGGCCTCGTATCTTCCAAAAATAATAAAGAAATATCAAAATAACCTCTTTCTAAATAGTGGAGCGGTGTGAGGCGAGGGTGGGAGGCAAGCAGGATTGAAAAGGGTGAGGATCAAGGGCTTCTTTGTGTTGAAAGACCCAGAAGGAAGCCAATAAATGCAGAGGGCACCGCCCGGCTTCCTGCGTGACTCACTGTCCCCACCAACGTTCAAAATGACATGTAAGATTTTGGAATAAATACAGAGAAAACACGTTATTCTACCTAAGACAAATTTTTGAAACAAGAAATAGGACCAGAGTAGGGGGAAAAGTACTAAAGTTAACTTACGTTACTATAACTCACTAGTAGAATGCTATGAACACAAAATACTAGGCAGGAAAAAAGGCAGTGAAGGCTATCGCCACAAGCAATGGAAATAAAGAAGGTCCTTTCAAATACATTCTAACAACTGACATCTATGTAAGTGCCATTTAATAATATGGGCGTAAGACATAGGTCTACTTCAGCCACCTAAGAATGCTTTAAACTTAGAGTTCACTGTCAGGAAAAGACTGGCCTTTCAGCCCATCACAGCACAGCGCAGATGGCTACTCAGGGGCCAAGCCTCGGGCACTTACGTTGGGCCACAGCGCCTTGAATTCGGTAACCCAAGATAATGGCTGCTCTCTGGATGTCGATCTTGTTGATCAGGTCTGAAGACTTGACTGCACTGAGTCGTTCTCCGTCTTGATCCTCCACAAAGTAGATGAGCTGCACGGGATCGTCATCTCCCTCCAGCCGCGACACGTTTACCACCTGAAAGACAACGGACACCACTGGCATTTTAGAAGCTCATGTGTCCAGATGCAAAGGCCTTTCTCTGGGCACTCAACCTTGACTGTGTTATTCAGCATTTATTCATCCTCACCGTAAGCTCCTTACATTATTTCAGGTTCCGGAATCCCTACCATGCTCTGTGGATGGGCAGAGGGACCGTTAAGATGAAAGTTCCTCTGTGTAGAATAACAAAGGCGCTTTGGATTGCTTGAAGGCTTCTCTGAGACAAAAGGCCAGGAGGGTACACAGACCACAGGCTTGCCAGTCCGGGAATCTACCAAGAAGCTCCAATGTGTCATGGGAGGATGCTCCTGTCCTCATAGCATCAACCACAGAGGAACTATTAGTGGTTCTACCTAATCGCTTCTTGAATCTGTCAGTATTTTCTCTCTGTTCTTCTGGGGTAGGGCTTCTCAACCTCGGTACTACTGCCATTTTGGTCCAGGTAATTCTTAGATGTGAACGTCTGTACCGGGCACTATTAAGACGTTTAGAAGCATCCCTTCCCTCTACTTGCCAGAAGCCAGAGGTAACAGCCACGCCCCCCTCCTCCCTCCTCACCAGTTGTGACAAGCAGAATATCTCTAGGCAGTGCCAAAGTGTGCCCTGGGGGGAGCAAAATCATCAACGTTTGAGAACCACTGCCCTTGGGATAAAAACTTTGATACATTCTTTAAGACCCCACCCTCGATAATGGACAGGTCATTCAGAGAATCAATAAGGAAACAGAAGATCTGAACAACACTATAGACCAAAGAAACCTAAGAGATATACACAGAAAATTACATCCAATGGCAGAATACACATTCTTCCCAAGTGCACACAGGACAGTTTCTAGGCTAGACCATATACTAGGCCACAAAAATAGTCTCAACAAAATCAAGAAATTTTATCAAGTATCTTTACAGACCACAATAGTGAAACTAGAATCAATAATAAAAGGAAAGCTGGAAAATTCACAAATACGTGGAAATTAAACAACACACTCCTGAAACAACCAATGGACCAAAGAAAAGATCAAAAGAAAAATAAGAAATATTTTAAAACAAATGAAAGCAGAAACACAACATATCAAAACTTATGAGATGAAGCAAAAACAGTTATAATAATGTTTATAGCTATAAATATATACACTATGAAAAAGAAATATCTCAAATAAGCAATCAATTTACAACTCAAGGAACTAGAGTATGAAGAAAAAACTAAGCCCAAAGTTAGCAGAAGGAAATAACAAATATTACAGCAGAAATAAATCAAATAAAGAACAGGAAAACAATAGAAGAGTTTAACAAAATGAGTTGGTTCTTTGAAAAGATAAACAAAATTAACAAACGTTTAGCTACACTAACCAAGAAAAAGTAAGAGTTCTCAAAAATTATAAATGACAGAGGAGGTATTACAACATATACCACAGAAATAGAAAGGATCAAAAGAGACTACTATAAATAATTATACACCAACAAATTGGACAATCTAGAAGAAATAGATTAATTCCTAGAACCATACAAACTACCAAAACTAAATCATGAAGAAACAGAATATCTGAACAGATCAATAACAAGTAAAGAGATAGAAGCAATAATAAAAAAATTCCCAACAGAGAAAAGCCCAGGACCAGATGGGTCTCACTGACAAATTATACCAAACATTTAAAAAGAGTTAACACTAATCCTTCTAAAAAATTTCCCAACAATTGAAGAGGCAGGGATGCTCCCAAACCTATTTTATGAAGCCAACATTATCTTGATACCAAAGTCAGGTAAGGACACTATCAGAAAAGTAAACTAAAGATCAATATATCCAATGAACATGCTAGGAGATGCAAAGTTTCTCAACAAAATACTAGCAAACCAAATTGAACATCACATTAAAAGGATTATACACCACGATTAAGTGGGATTCATCCCTGAGATGGAAGGATGGGTCAACCTCTTTGCATCTCAGGGATGGGTCAACATTTGCAAATGATGGGTCAACATTTGCAAATCAATAAGTGTGATACATCACATTAATATCTGAAAGATAAAAATCATAAAATTATTCAACAGAAGTAGAAAAAGCATTCGACAACATTCAACATTCATTCATGATTAAAAAAAACTCTCAACAAACTGAGTATAGAAGGATCATACCTCAACATTGTAAAGGCCATATTTGCAAATCCATAGCTAATATCATACTCAATGATGAAAGGTTGAAAACTTTTTCTCTAAGATCAGGAACAAGACAAGGATACCTACCTACTCTCACCACTCCTATTCAAGATACTACAGAAGGCCTAGCCACAGCAATCAGGCAAGAAAAACAAATACAAGGCATCCAAATCAGAATGGAAGACATACAATTGTCTCTGCTTTCAGATGACATGATCTTACAAATTAAAAAAAACCTAAAAACTCTACCAAAAAACTATTAAAATTAATAAATGAATTCGTAAATTTGCAGGATACAAACTCAACACAATAAAAATTATCAGTTATATTTCCATAAACTCACAATGAACTATCTGAAAAAGAAATAAAGAAAATAGTGCCATTCACAATAGCATCAAAAATAAGAAAATACTTGGGAATAAATTTAGCCAAGCAAGTAAAAATATGTGCACTAAAGATTATGACATTGATGATTGAAGAAAACACAAATAAATAGAAAGATATTCCATGTTCACATATAAGAAGAATTAATATTGTTAAAATATTAGTCCATATTACCCAAAGTAGAGATTCAATGCAATCCCTATCAAAATTCCAATGGCATTTTTTACAGAAATAGAGAAAATAATCCAAAACTTTATATGGAACCACAAAAGACCCTGCTGACAAAGGAGCCAAGAATATTCAATGGGAAAAGGCAGTCTCTTTGATTAATAGTATTAGGAAAACCGGATATTCATATGCAAAAGAATAAAACTGGACCACTTACTTATACACAAAAATTAACTCAAACTGACTTAAAGACTTGAATATAAGACCTGAAACCATAAAGCTCCTAGAAAAAAAACAGGCAATAAACTCC